ACCTGTGACAGTTTCTTGTTCTGTTTCAAGGCAACTCACACTCAGCTCTTGGTTTCTTCTTGCATTGTGGAGCAGGGAATAAGCCTGGCTTTGCTGTGCCACTGAACTGTCAGTGTGAGTTGGCCCGGGCAGGACACAGGAACCCCCACAAAACCACAGATGAAATGCAAAGAGTTCATTTGTGTCTGTTCCTCACCAACAGAGGGATCCCCAGAGCAGCACCTGGGCAGAGGCACCGTGGAGCTCAGTCCCTGTGAGACAATGGCCAAACCTGCTCTTTTCCCCTGGGCTTCACACTTTGGTCACTGTGTGGTTTTTGCACAGCAAACCCAAGATCTGCTTTGGAGCCACTGAAGCAATGGGGTTCTGTTCCTCTTTGAGGAGGTGCAGGAGGAGCCCTGTGAGCACTTGTGTGAGCTATTGGGTTGTTGAGGTATAGAATCCTTTCTCCTCTGGACTTCTGGGCAAAGAGTCTCCGTGGGTGAAGCCTTTGTACAACTTGCTCCAAGTGAGGTTTTATGTCAGCTTTACAATCCATGAAGAAGCCAGTGAAATGATTTCTCCTGCCAATGTCCCCCGAGACTGTGATAGAAAAAAAATTAAGTTCTTCCCTTCAACACCCACTGTCCACCCTCCAGCACTGGCCTCAAGTCCTGACCCTGGGCCACAATGTGCTAAGCCTGGTAGCAGAGAGACAGGAGGAAGGAGAAAGGCTGAGGAGGATCCTTGAAGGATGAGGAACTGACTTAGCTGTAACTCAAGTCTTAAACTGAATAAATGAACAATAATGGACTCCCTTCTTTCCTGGAAGAGCTTTGGACATGTTTCAGTGACCAAAGGGGCTCCAAGACAGCTGGAGAATGACTTTGGACAAGGGCCTTTGTCATGGGTTTACCTGTTCTAAAAAAACAAACGGGGATTTTCTTTCCACTGCTGCAATGTGGGGGAGGGATGTTGAATGGGAAGGACAGTTTTCTGCCTTAGGTGATTGACCTACACAAAGGAGCTGGCTGGCAGAACTACGTTCCAGGCTGACAGCCCTCTCTAAGGCTGGGGAGGGGGTGAGGAGTTTTTCTCCCCTCCTCTCCTTGGATAGGGGCACTTCACTTTCTGCCTTAACGGGGGCAAGGGTTGTGTGTGTGTTGGAAAAGCTCTGAGGCCGTTTTGCTCTTGACCTGGTCATCTGGCTGTCCTCCAGCCAGAATCTGCTCAGTTTTCATGGGAGAGTTTGTGCTCATCAACCAAAGGGAGGAGTCCTGGCTACAGCCAGCTGCAGATAGCGTGAGTTTAATGGGAAAGAAACCGCCCTTCTTTCCCCTTTTCCCCTTCCCCTCCTGTGTGAGGGGGGGAATCTCCATTTTTGGCTTCTCCCGCGATCTGGGGCTCCCAGAGCCCAACAACTCCTCCTGCCAACCGACACTGAGACCTGCAGGCTCTTCTCCTCCAGTGACCCAACAGAGCCTGTGATTGGAATTGCACTAGAGGACAGAGAAGTATCAGACTGTTTCCTTTTTGAAGTGGACTTTTGGGTACAGGATTATTGTTTAGTTGTTTCTGTGTTCTTTTGCTGTTTTTGCCAATATACATATATTCTTTAATAAAGGGTTGTTATTTCTTCTTTTTTTCCATACTTCCTCGGTTGGAGCCTCTTAATTTCGGATTTACAATTGCTGAGAGAGAGCAGTTTGGTCTACCTCGTAACTCATCCTCCTTAGCAAAACTCTTTAGTCTCCTTAAACTGAGACAGTCTTGAGTGACAGGACATGGGCCAAGAGCTTCCTACTGCCCAAGGGCAGGGTTGGATGGGATACTGGGAAGAAATTCTTCCCTGTGAGGGTGGTTGCCCCATCCCTGAAAGTGTTCAAGGCCAGGTTGGATGGGGCTTGGAGCAACCTGGGCTAGTGGAAGGTGTCATTATTTCTGTCTCTGTCAGGGGTTGAAATGAGATGAGCATTAAGGTCCCTTCAAGCCCAAACCTTTCCATGGCTCTATGACCTCATGACTCTATGACCTCATGTCTCCATGGCTCTGTGACCCACTGTGTCCTGCAGGTCAGGGGGGGCCGTTGCCTGGCAACGGGAGCTGTGATGAAGAGGGGCACGTGCAGCGCAGGCCCCAGTCCTTCGAGGGCCGAGGAAGGAGGAAGGAGCCTTCTGGCGACTGACCCGCTTCTTCATTGCTTTTGCTGATACGATTGATTAACTGTTTTGCTCAACCATTTTATCCACCCTATTGGTCATCCCTTTTACCATCCCTTTTGTTCATCCCTGGCAGATCCTGTCTGGGCAGGAAGGCTGTCTTTGCAGACATGGCGACTCCCTTGGACACTCTCAGCCTCTCCCAGCTGCTGGATCTCGCCATCGGGATGCCCCAGAGTGGAGCCATCCACTTTGCAGCCATGAGGAAACTGCTGCAGGCCGTGCTGGGGCACCTGGACATGCAGTACCTGACAGTCCAGGAGCCGTGGACGGGCGAGCTGAGTGGCCCCTCACTGGCTGAGTTGGCTGCTGACGTAAAACAAATGAAACAGGACATGGAATCCTATAAGAAACTCATGTCTGAGGTAGTGGCTCTTCCCAGAGCCCCTGGTGCTCCCCCACCAGTCAGTCCCTCCCCACTTCCTCAGCAGTGCTTGACTCTGCCCTCACTGCCCAGGCAGCGCTTGGGCCGCTGGCAGAGCTTCCTGGCCCTTGGGATGGGCTTCAGTGCTCTGGCACAGAGCCTGGTTCGGGCAGGCGGCACTGGGGCTCTCCCTGCTGACCCTGCCTGTGCCATGGGCTCCCCAGGGGAGGGCTGGGGGTCTTGGGGGACTCACCCCCGAGAACCCTTTTTCCTAGACTGTCTCTCAGGCTCTACACGAGGAGAGTGGTGAGGCCAAAGATGTGTCCAGGGTCCAGGAAGCACAGGTTTGTGGAGATCACAGTGGGGGTGAAGGTCGCGTTCCTCAGGGACACTGCCCAGGGGCTCATCTCTGACACCCCTTTTTCCTCAGCCCCAAAGAGCAGAGGACATGAAGGTCCAGGAGGTCCAGGACGTCCAGGAGGTCCAGGAGGTCCAGAAGATCCAGCAGGAGCTTGACCAGGTGAACTGCTGCTGTCAGACACTTGTTGCTCTGAGGCAGCAGCCAGTGGCCTCGGCTGTGCCGGCCGCAGGCTCAGCAGCCCTGGCCCTGCTGGATGCATGGAGAGTGCTGCCCGCAGTGCCCTGCCAGCCTGGCTGAGCCTGACCTGCACTGTCCCCTGTGCTGGGCACACCACGGCAGGGGGAAGGTCCTGCAGGTCCCCAGGGACCCTCCCCTGGGACTCACCCCCACCACCCCTTTCTCCCAGTTCATGGCTGACTACCAGAATCTTTGCGAGGAGATCGGCATGATTAAGACAACACAGTCCAACATGGCAGAGAAGATGAGAGAGACATTTGCATGGGTGAGCCACTGGCTGGTGTCACCTTTGGGCTCTTGTGGGATATTTGAGTGTGGTTGCCTGAGCTGGGGATTTGGGGTTGGGCCGGGGACAGGGTGTGAGGCCCTGGTTCTGCCCTGAGTCTGCCACCATTGTCCTTTCCAGATGAAGAAGATGGAGGACGACATGAGAAAGCTGAGGGAGGATGCAGTGAAGTGGAAAGAAGAGATCAGTGAGCAGATCACTCAACAAGTGGAGTAAGAGGAGAGGAAAGGGTTTACTACCTTATAGGGCTGCAAGACAGCCCAGAGGATTTGAGAGCATCTTGGTTTGGGGGTAAGGGACATTGCCCAAGAAGTGCTGGGGAGGCTAAGCCAGCCCCTGCCCCCATCTCGCTGGCCAGGTCCGTGCTGCAGGAGACAAAGATTGAACTCAAGAAGATGGAGGAGCAGCAGGAGATGAGGAATGTCATGCTGGAAGAGATGGTGAACGAGGCAACCAACCAGATGACTGAGGCAACCAACCAGATGAATGCTCAGGTGAGGTGCTGGGGGAGCACTCCCACCACCCGCTGGCTCAGTGGAGGGGTCCTGATGGGGTTCCAGCCACATCCCCCAGCTGGATGGGGCCATCAAGCCCCACAGCACCCAGGTGTGCTGGCTGCATCCATCCCATCTCTGAGCGGATTCCTTCTGCCCTTCCTGCAGCTGGGTGAGCTGGGGGAGATAACAGGGGCTCTGCAGGAGGAGACAGAGATGGAGGAGCCAGAGTGTTCCAACTGCACCTTCAACATCAGAGTGTTTTTGAGGGAGCTTGTCAAGTGCTGTGAGAAACTCAAGGAGGACGTGGACTCCCTGCAGTCCCGGCAGACAGCTGTGGGCAAGGTGGAGAACATCATAAAGCAAAGGAGCCAGGTAGGGAATTGGCATCACAGGGGACTTGGGAGTGGGCTGATGGCATTCCCTGGTTGACTGTGCTTTGCTGTAAAATGTTGGGGAGCCCCTCACTGCCCCCAGACTGGCTTGGACCAGTCAGCAGCATGGAAGGAAATTAAAGCCTTGTGCAAATGTCCTCTTGACACTGAATACTCATGGAACGAGACCCTCCTTGCTAAGCATCATCTTTTCTTCCTCCCTGGAGCAGGACCAGCAGCTCCTGCAGCACATGGAGGACAAGGTCAGGAAGATTCAAGGGGACTGTGAGGAGCTCAGCTTGGTCTCAGGGAACCTCCAGAAGGACTGTGAGGAAAAGCAGAAAGCTATTGAGGTTGGTGGCTGAAATTCCTGTGGGGTCAGAGCATCCCTCAGGCACACTCCAGGCAGGGGACCATAAGGAATCTGTCCCCCTGCTGACCTGCTCACAGCCCTGAGGGGGTTCCGAGGGCGTTTCCCAGAGGATTTTGGGTAGGGGGAGCAGGGGCTGCTCAGTTGACCAGGAGGTAGCTCTGACCCTGCTGCCATGTCATGGGATGCTTTCTATGTTGAAAGATGCTATTCCAGTCCTTGGAGAAACTGCAGAAGGAGAAAGCAGATGAGCAGAAAATGTTGCAGAACATGTTGACAGCAATGGATGTGGTACAGTCTTGAGGGCCCTCTGTGCCAGCCCAGGGCTTCCTGGACAGGGTGACAAGTGCCCCTTGTGCTTTGGCGCATGGGTGGTAGAAGTGGCCTGGGAGAGAGAGGATTTCCAGACCAAGTGCAGGTCCCTTGTCCCTCCACGGATGGGAACAACCCCATGGGGGTGATGGGGTGAATGGGGCCACCCTGCCCTGAAAGGGGCACGATGGTACAGAGGGAGTGCTTCTCCCTCTGCCCCTGACACGCCCTGGCCCTGCCTGTCATTCCTCAACCCTTTCCCCTCTTCACTCCTGCCTTTCTCCTCTGCTAGAAAGCGGACAAAAATGCCTTGGGCAGCAAAGTCAATTGCACCCAGTTTGAGGCAAACATGGAGCGGCTGGATCAGAGGCTGCGGAAGATGCAAAGTCAGGTGTTGGGACAGAATGAACACTGGAACGAGCTGCAGGAGAAGCTCAGCCACAGGATAGAAAACAAGGTGAGGAGTGGCTCGTCCCCAGTGTGCAAAACTGGCACCTTTGAGTCTTGGCAGCCAGAGGCAGCATCCCTCTGAGGGTCCCCCACTCCTGGATTTTCCCTGGAGACAGCCATGTCCCATGCCAGGGCAGCTGGCTGAGGGTGTGCACCTGTCCACAGCTGGATCGTGGGGAGCTGAAGGCTTTCCATGAGAAGATGGAGGAGACCTGGAAGAAGAGCATCAGGGAGCTTGAGAAGAAGATGATGGCTGACAGTGCCGCTGGGCTGAGGAAGTGAGTGGGATGGGGATGGCAATGGCTTTGGGGACAGCGATGGTGCTGTTCCCTCCAGCTGTCCCAGACAGTGCCCACGTGGTACCCTGGCACTGCACCAATTTAGCCACCAAAGGAACTGTGGC